TTTTTTTGTTGTTGTTTATGCTGGGGGGGTTCCCTCCCTCCTCCCCTTACTGAACCCGCACGGGCTCGCTGGTGGAGATAACGGCCCCGCCGCGCTGGAAGGCGGGTTCTGTGCAGGAGGTGAGGCCAGCGGGGCAGGTCCACCCACTTGAAAACAAAACTTTTTTCCTGCAGGSGCTGAGAGCAGAGACCGGCGCGAGGTCCCCGGAGCCGGCTCGCCGCCCGCCGGAGGCTGGTATGCGGTAGGATAGGCCATGTATTGGAAGAGTGACCCGATGTTCGTCTGCAGGCTGGAGGACAAGGACTTGCCCGCGCTCGGCGGCCCCGCGGAGAAGGTGCACGGGCGGGGGGCGGCGTGGCTCGGTCTCCTGGTGCGGCTCGCCGGGTCTGGTGGCCCCGGGCGCGGCGTTCCCGCCGGGTCCCACGGATACCGCGGTGGCCGCCAGTGTCCCGSCGGGACCCCCAGGTGTCGGTGGGACCGGCATGGGGCTCCTGGGCGTGGCTGGGCGCTGACCGTGATCTCCCCGCGCTTTCGCAGGCCAGCCCCGCAGGGGCTGACGAGGACTCCTGCTCTTCCTCCGCTGCCCTGTCGCCCTCCTCATCACCGCGSTCCATGGCCTCAGGTTCGGGCTGCGCCCCCGGCAAGTGCGTGTGCAGCAGCTGCGGCCTGGAGATCGTGGACAAGTACCTACTCAAGGTAAGGGTGCCCGACCCCGAGTTCCCTTTGTCTGGCGACTCTCCCCAGCACCGGGCCCGGGGCGCGGCCAGCTCGAGGAGGAGCCTGCCCGAGCCGCCAGCAGTGCCCCAAGAGCCTCGGGGTACCGGGCCCGGTGGGCTCCGAGGGAACAGCCCTCGCCTCAGCGCTCACCCCTCCCCGCCCCGGACGGCGCGGACACGGGCGTGAGGAGTCTCAGCGTTCTTGTYCGAGGAATTTGGGCTAGAGAGAGAACCCTAGCTGCTGTCGGTGCTTCGGGTGACACTACTGGCGCTGGGCTGCGTGTTCCTGTCGCGTCAGGAGAAGGGGGGAAGGAAATAGGAACGCGATGATCCCCACATGCTCTCGGTCAGACGGCGGCAGCGCGACCTACGTTATATTGAAGTAGTTCTGGGGGCAATGTCGTGAGTCTCCAAGCCAAAAGCGCCTCTTGAGAAATGTGGAGATAAGTCATTCCTGCGAAAGGAACTAACATATTTGAAGGAAACGAGCTATGTGCGTGCGAAGCAGTTCWCTTGCCTTAGCAATCAGGACCTAGTAAGATAATTCAAAAGCAAACAAAACCAAATTGCTTTAAACATGAAGTGCTATGGCTGGAGGGAGGGGGAGGCTACTTGTTTTTGTATTACAGCCGTTTTGATTATATATTGCCCTCTTTCAAAAGCGAGAGTAACAATCACGGCAGAAGTCGGTTGATTCTATCAGCCTTAAACTAAGTCGTTGTATCCTTGCAGAATGATAGTGGGTGACAGCCGAGGAAGCATCTCTGTGGGGTCATTAGATCATCCGCTTAGGTCTTGATTGAGCTGGGGAGGTCCGAGAAAAATGTGTGCTGGGGCTGGTGTTCACTTGAAATAGGGTCGGTGCAGGAGCTGCCACGCATCCCCGGTCCGGGTGACCCTGTCCCACTTCCAGTAGCCCGGGCTGGCACAGAACGGGCGGGTGGACGGTGAGCAGAGCTGACTTGAACTGTGTTTCATTCCGTTAACTCTCGTGATGTTTTGGCAGCTCATTTATCGTTTAYTGATCACTGCTGCTTCTTGTCTGAGCAGTCCAGGGTAACAGGACTTGGAGCAAAAGACCTCTAAATTATTTAGCCTTGAGTTTAAATTAGTTGTTGCTGYTTCCTGTGTAGGCAGAGAGGAATCGATGCTAGTGTGCTGCTGTGTACTGTCCACAGCTCCCAACTTCAGCCCTGTCAATTGACAAGTAGGAGCACAGGCAAATCACATCAAATGGGACACTACAGAAGCCTGTGGTGTCCTGCTCTGTGGAAGAGTGTTGATCTCTGAAGAAGAGCCCGTGGGCTGAGAGCAGTTGGGATGTCAGCTCAGGCTGTGCAGAGCTGCAGGGATTTCTCTTTGCTGTGCCGGGGCTGGGGAGGCCCGGGGAGCCTTGGCTCAGTCTGGCCCAGGCTGCGCCTCTGCTCTGCGGCACTTCGAAGAGRTGACTGAGAGGGTGAGTTTGGTGACAGCTATCAACTTCTATCAACAGTTTCATTTATTCTGGTGTAAACTTGTCAGCATAAAGGAAGGTGACTGCCAACAAGGATAAGGGTTAGGAAAGCATTGAGCAAACTGCAATATTACAACCTGAAGAATGATTGAGATGGGTGATTCCAGCATGAATGTTGGAGTCAATGTTTTGCTTTTGCTGTGGTTTGTCTGGCCATGCTCTGATGGGCATATCCCAGTTTACCTCAAATCTGCCTTGCCATAGGTAATGCATGGGCTGTTTGGTATAAAATGAGAAATTGGCTTAGTGGGAAAAAAAATCTAAATAATTGTTTGGTTTACAGAATTCCTCTGATACAGCTTTGGATTATCCAGAGGGTTTTTACTTAATTTTTATAGTCACTGGAAGTCTTGGATTGTCAGATGATTTATTTAGGTGGTGCGTAATGTTTGCGCAATGAAGAGTTCCTTTTATATGAAAGCAGAAATTAAAATAATTGCTCTCATTTTACTTATTTTATTCTGCATGCCCCAAAATCATATGTAAGTTTTCAGAAATGCTGATTTCTTCTGCATTTAACGACTAGATTTATTTCTGCTGTGGGCATATTAAAGAAATATTGAATTTGCTATTAAAACACCTGATGCTGTTTTGAAGCTCAGAACTCCATTCACCAATTTTGCTTTAATAGAAATGTGGCAAATGGAGGTGTGATTCATGGTGTGTTTCTATTTGAAAGACTATTTTYTTCACCCTTCAATACTCATGTTTTAAAATTTTTAATCACTTAGCAAAGTTTGTTTTTTGTTAGGCAGGACTTTATGCACACTAGGAAATACAGGTATGTAAGTTAGTTGCATTTCCAAGGTCATGTAAGGCTAAAACTTGCTCTCTAATGCTGTGAGAACAGAACTGGGCACAAATAATCTGAATGGAACTTGTATCTCTTGCTGCTTCTCCTAGAGCTTTTAATTACAAACCCATGAAAGCTTATTCTGAAGACCTGCATAAAGTTAGTTAACCTCACTATGCATGCRGTTCTATAGGAAAAACATTTTTCATTCAAGATAATTTTACTGTGAATCATGTTGCATATAACTTTTGACCGTGTCTGCAGAAAAAAAAAAACAAAAACCAAAAAACAACAACAA